TATATATATATTTTAGGTTATTTGAATTTGCAGCCAGGATATAGAATCTCTGTACAAACCTTAGTCCCCTTGCATTCAAGATGGAGCTCCTGAAAAGAGTTAATAGTGACTGCTCTCTCTGCGTTGCAGGGTGGAGCATCACATAAAATAATACAGATAAAATAATTTCCAATGTGTAAATGCACAATAATTATTAAAGCATGTGTTATTAAAGGGCTTAGTGATTGTTATTATGCAAATGGAAGGATTATAATTAGCATATTAATTTTGTAACTGAAGTTCTAACCCTTGGAGATCAAATTCAGTTGCTATCTCTAAAGGTAGAAGGCTCCACCCTTCAACCCCTGACCTTAATTTGTGATCATTCTACAGAAACTCCTGACAGTGTTCTGTGAGAGTTTAAGAATTACACATCAATTTAGTGAATATTCCTAATAACATACTTGTTTATCCCTCTGTGCCACAGCTTGTAAACACACTGAAGTATGGAACAAACAAGACTAATGTTTGTGAAGTGTGGGACAAAATAACTCTGTTTCAAATTTATTGGGTTCTGTCATGATTTCCTAGTTAAATTTGATTTAACACCATATCTTTTAACAGGTTCATTTCTAGTTCCAGTAGTTTACCTCTCTTAGCTGTCCCCCCACTTAACACTTGGATGCATTTGATGTGTTCAGCTACTCAAGTAGGAATGTCTGTGATCCCTGCACTTTCGGTAATGCATACTTTTTCTTTGCCCCGTAGTGCTGGAATCAGTCACACTGTGACTTCTGAAATTGTCAAACTGTGGTCTGTCCTCCAGAATAAACAGTGGTAGATCAAATACAGACTTGGCAGGTTTATTTTTCATGAACTGCAGGTTGCCTGCGACTTCGTGTGTGGCTCTGTGCCTGGAGTGTTCACTCACGACCTCAATACCCTTCTCTGGGAGTGAGTCTGAGGAGCTCAGGCAGATCACTGATGGTGACAGGGCCCAGGAAGAACTGTCGCTGCATGTGTTACTCCATCCTCTGAACTGTCATGGTTGTAGCATCCATTCAATATCTCTCTGCTCACCAGAAAATGCAGCTTGGCAAAACAAAGGAAAAGTTTAATTTCTTTGATAGATTTTTTCTTTCTTTCTTTCTTTTTTTTTTTTTTTTTGCAAATGAGTTCTGATATTTTCTCCCTCATTTAAGCCTGGGAATTAATTCCAAAAGGAGAAATGCTTCCTTGCTTAGGAATCCCTTCACACAATGAACATCTTTGAAGAACTTAGTAACTATTTAGTGATTAAACCAATAAGTAAATTATGTGGAAGAGCAAGCTCTTCTGGAATTGGAGCCCTGTTTATTGTTGCACACACTTTTTTCTCTTCTTCTCTTCACAAACATATGAATTGATGCAGTTGATAAAAAATTTTAACCTTAACATATATTAATATGCAACTCACAAAAGCAACTTTTTTGTCGTTGTCATTAAAAATGGTGGGTTGACAAACTAGGGCCTGCAGGCTACACAGTTTCTGCATTTCTGAAATGCTATTTAAACATATAAAGCCCACATGGCCCAGAATATTTACTATCTGGCCTTTTCCAGAAATGCTTGCTGATCTCTGAACCACATGGAAAGTATCAACAATGGAGCCTCTGTACTTTTACTAAGAAACTGATTATGGTCTTCTCTTCAAAGCATCAATTTCCACTTGTAAAATCAGTCTTCACAGCCATCCCAGAAGGAGACTTTGAAAACTCCTGGGGATGCATCTGCCAGAATCTGCTCCTGCTCTAGGGCAGAGGCTGCTCTTCGGCCGGTGCTGCTGCCCTTTCGCCCCCCTTTGTGCTGTTTCTCTGCCCTCCACCTCCCCTCAGCATCAGCACCACCCACTAACTTGCACACACCTCTATGACCTTGTTTTCTAGGCCAAATGTTTGCACCATTCTCATTACGCTTATGAATCTGCTTTGCTACGCTCTTCTCCTTTTTCAACTGTTTTCATCCTCCAGAGCCCTTCTGGAACCACTTTTTTATCCCCCCACAAGAATCTCAGCCTTTTTGTGTCAGACATCTTCCAAATCTATTTCTGCTCCTATCTTTTCCTTGTTCCTATCCAGGCCCAGTTTTCTCACAGGATCCAGTTCTGCCATCTGAAAGAGATTAGCAAGAGAGGTCTTTGGGGGTCCTTCCTCTCTAGACCAGCTGCACAATCCCATTCCCCCTCCAGACATTGCTTGCATGTACCTTCATTATTTTTGCCTGTTGTCCATATTGCCTTATATGATTTTCCCCCCATGATCTTCTGGATGCCAACCTTCACCTACAACCGCAGCAGTTTTCCATATCTTCTGATGGTCCACTGATGGCCACGGGAGCCAACATGCAATTGTAACCTGAGCTGTCCCACCACTCAGATTTCATTCCAGTCCCATTTGCTGAATTCCCTCCCTTTCCTAAACTAAGATGTAGCCTTGCTCTTAGTACTATTCATGCTTGTACATGAATACAGAGCAAAGCAATAGGTAGTAAGTGATCAAGAAAGTCACTCATATTAGGAAAAAACAGAAGGAATATTTAGACATAAAATCTATAACAATAAAAATTCCCAACAACCTAATGAGAAAATTAGTAAATCTAACAAAGTAGCCTATTAAAGAATATTTGATCCTGTTTTTCACCTTCCCTTAAATCTGTAGGTTAAGGACTGCCAGTAATTTTTTTCGAAATAATTTGCTCTTTCTCTGATTCACTGTTCTATTTGCTGATGCATTATCTTTCCTCCAGTTATGTCTGTATACTTTAAGTTCTATAAACAAATGCTCTTTTTTTTTGGTTATGAAATGTAAGACAGCATCCACTGCTTGATAAAAATTAAATTGACAACAAATATATGAAAAAATGTTCAACATTTCTAGCAATTAGAGAAATGCAAATTAAGACTACACTGAGATTTCATCTCACTCCAGTCAGAATGGCAATTATCAAGAGTACAAGTAACAAAAAATGTTGGCATGGATGTGGGGAAACAGGTATATTCTTATATCGCTAGTGGGACTGCAAATTGGTGCAACCGCTATAGAAAGCAGTATGGATATTCCTCAGAAAACTTGGAATGGAACCACCATTTGACCCAGTTATCCTGCTCCTTGGCATATACCCAAAGGACTTAAAATCAGCATACAGTAGTGAAGAGGCCGCATTAATGTTTATAGCAGCTTGGTTATCAATAGCTAAGCTATGGAACCAGCCTAGGTGACCTGTAACAGATGAATGGGTAAAGAAAATGTGACACACACACACAGACACACACACACACACACACACACACAGGAATATTACTCAGCTTTTAAGAAGAATGAAGTTATGGCATTTGCCGGTAAATGGGTAGAACTGGAGACTATCATACTAATTGAAATAAGCCAATTCCCCAAACACCAAACAAAGGCTGAATATTCTCTCTGATATGTGGATGTTAACACACAATAAGGGAGTGGGGAGGAACAATAGAAGTTCATTGGATTAGACAAGGGGAAATGAAGGGAAGGGAGAGGGGATGAGAGTAGGAAAGAGAGAACCACAAGAATGGGAAGTTATAGTCCATGTATGTATAGTATGTCGAAATACATTCTACTGTCATGTGTGACTAAAAAGAACAAATAAATTAAAAAAAATTAAATTGAACACTCTATCAGTACCACCATGTGCACGGAATGGTAGCTTCTCACTGGTGATATTCTGTTAGTCCAGTTCATCTGGAAGGTTTTTTTTACTAGAACAAACTTTGAAAGATTGTCACTCAATGGCAAGAGATGCTTTCTAAATAGCTTGCATGTAGGCACCTTTCTCCTTTCATTTCAGTCTCCTTTCTAATTCCCTGTACATTTCTCTGAGTTCCTTCCTCCCAGGTTCTTTTACAGGATATACATTGTATTAAAAATGAATTGGGGGCTGGGCCTATAGCTCAGCCCTGAAGCACTTGCCTAGCACATGTGAGGCACTGGTTGGATCCTCAGCACCACATAAAAATAAATAAATAAAATAAAGGCATTGCATCCATCTACAACTAAAAAAAATTTAAAAAAATAAAATGGGAAAATCTAGCAAGGACATGCTTGTCTGGAGGGAGAGGGCTGCAGGCACACTAACCTACAGGGAGATGGAGTGTTCACCACCCTGCCTCAAGCATATGTCTTTCTTAAGTGCACCACCTCCTTATTTATGTATTGTCACATATTTTCCAAGAGATATTCTAGGCCTTGGACACTATGCTAGACCCTAGGGCACACTGAGGAGCAAAAGGAAAACTGTTGCTGCCTTTATGTGGGGGAGGTAGCACCAGTTACAAATTTGCATTCATAAATATGTGTCAGCAAACACTCTAGCTCTGATATAGAAAGGAAGCACTAAAATTAGTATCTATTTCCCTAACAGCTCTGTTATCTTAGGTCTGCTTATGTGAACAACATGCGCTGTGTCTCTTTCTCCTCTTTTCCTTTTTGTTGGGTGGAGGTGGATATAAGGCTAACACTGTCCTTTCATGGCTATGGTGATTTATAGTCACATTTGTTTTTTACATCATGTAATTCTTGACACCCCCCCTCCCCCGTAGATGGTATAATCTCAGTTTTAAATTAACAACATTATTATTTTTTAATATATTTTTTTAGTTGTAGTTGACCACAGTACCTTTATTTTATTTATTCGTATGTGGTGCTGAGGATTGAACCCAAGGCCTCGAACGTGCTAGGCAAGCACTCTACAGCTGATCCACAATCCCAGCCCAACATTATTACTCAGACTGTCATTGGGAGAGTCAATGAATGAGTGTTTGCACTGTGGGAGCTTAGGGGCAGAAATAAGCCCCAATTCTAATTTGAAGCCACCAAATGTAGTGGCTGTGAACCTGCCAAAAGCAGGAACCTTGGATTTACATTGTTTACAGCAGCAAGAGAAAATACCCCCTTTTCTCTGTAGAAGTTAGGACTGGATCTCAAAAATAGAAATGTGTCCTCCTAAACGCCTGCTCATCCCCATGGTTGACAAACAGCGATTTCCCAAGATAGCTGCCGCACACTCAGTTCCGAATCTCTGTATTTCTTCCTCTCCAGAATGTCTAAACCCCTCCTGATTGCACCCAGTCATACTTCCTGAACTCTTTGAGGAAACACTTTCAGGCTTCATATGCTTTCCTCAAAGCCCCTGGGCACAACAGGGGAGGACTCAGGCCCTGGCGGAGTACTCTTGCGTGGGGATTCCTGCCGCTCTGTGGCCCGCACAGGCCAATGTGCTTCCCAGCCATGGTCCCACTCGCTGTTAGCAAGCTGAATGAGAAGCAACGCTATTTTTACTACCCTGGCTGCAATACTTTATGTTTACTTGCAGAAAGAAAATACATAAAGGATAAAGATGGAAATGCTTGGCCTTAGTTTTTCCTAAGCAGATGGGGGTTGGAATAGGACAGGGTATGTAAGGTCTGGGATGGTGGAAAAGAAAGGTCGATTTCCTGGGCTGTTTTCTCCTGATCATGCCTGTTTCTGGCCCAGGAGTCCCCACACTTTTCTTTCTTTTCCCCAGACTCCCCCTTGATTGCCAGTCCCC